TGGGCATGAGTGTTGTGCCTGAACATATGTCTGTGCATCATGTATGTGCAGTGCCCATAGATTTAAGAAGAGGGCATCAGATCCTTTGGTACTGGAGTTACAGATACCAAGTGGTTGCCAGGGACTGAAGCTGGGTCCTCCGGGAGACTGGGGCAAGTCACAGGCCCCTTTGGGTCAGTTTCTATTCATTGATTTTTCTTTTCATTATGAGTTCTATTCTTCTAGTTATTTCTGTGTGTGGAAATGATCAATAAGACTTTGGACACACCAAGATAGGATAGATATGGAGTATTTTCTGTGAATTTGTCAAATACAAATGGACTAAATATTGTTGATGTATTTATTGTCTGTATATATTATATAATGTCATTGTACTTATTACACATAGTTTTCTTATGTTAGTTGTAGACTTCTTTAATTTTAGACAAAAAGGGGGAAATGTAGTGATATTTCACTTGTATTTTAATAAATAAGCAGACAGCAGACATCGTGAATGTTACCTTAGTAGGAGCAATGTTTGGGATCTGTTTGTCTCCCAGAATCTGGGTATGTTGGTATTTCTATAGTTATGTGTGCTATCTATTCTAAGAAACAGTAGAATATCTTAGTTTGACAGTAGTGGCTCACACCTCAAATTCCATCACTTGGGAAGCAGAGGCAGGTAGATCTCTGCGAGTCTGAGGTTAGCCTGATCTAACAAGCTAGTTCCAGGATAGCCAATGCCATACAAAGACACCCTGTCTCAAAAAACAAGCAAACAAAGAAACAAACACACACACACAGACAAAAATCAGCTTGTTTTAGGTCTTCCTTTCGACCTCTATCAGGACCAGATCATCATTTTATGCAGGGCTAACAGTGCCCAATGATGGAATGCTAATTATGGAAGAGCCTTCTGAGTGTCCTGCATATTACAGGTTTTCTGGGCTGTCTGGTTAAAACAGGCTAATGCCTGGCTGAATGTGAGTGTTTCATTCTTTTCTTTACTTCTCTCAGACTGGCCTTCCCTGACTAAAGCTCCCCCACACATACATGTTGACCATTCACCTGCATCCTTCCTCTCTGGAACGCTCTTCTGCAAACACTGTTTTGAGAACTGTTGCTAATCTCCTCTCCATGGATTCCTCGGTTCAAAGAACCTGCCAAGCTTAGCCTGTTTTTCCACTCTCCCGTGTCACAACCTGAAGACTTTCAGGGGGCCAAGCTACCCACTCACAGGTCCTACCCTGGCAGATGTCTCGCAACTGCTATTTTCTGACTTTTACTCCAGGGGTTTATTTGCTCAGATGGAAGAATAAATCTGGTCATGGAGACTGGACCCTGGTGAAATGCAGACGTCTTGGAAACTTTGGATACTGGAGGATGAAGTTAGTATCCGCTCATTTCCTTGCTCTGCAGCCTTGATATATTACCTAACTTCTCCCAGTCCTGGTTATTTTTCATCTGTAAAACTGGAACAATAATGTCATAAAAGTTAAAGTCCACTTATAAAAATTATTCTGCACAAAACCTGGTGTTTCGCAAGCACTCTAACAATGGGGGCCATTTTGTTATCTGGATGGTTGGTTGGTATCACACATTCCTAGCAGATGATTTCAGGTCTAAAATGTTTAGATTTTATTAATTCAAAATTAAGCTATGCTCTCAATACTTTAGCCATATGTTTATTATGTACAATTAAAAATGACATTTATAAATAACTCCATCACTGTCAAACTTTAGATTTTGTGTGCTTGTCTTTTTAACGTCCATTGATTGAATGTTAGAACACATTAGGAGTCATATGGCCATTTGAACATTTTACTGGAAAAAGAATGAGCTTTTTAAAAATTCCTTCTAATTTTCAATTTATTATTTCTCTTCTGCTTGTTTGTTGAGACAGGGTCTCACCATGTAGTCCTGGGCAGCCTGGAACTCTTCTGTGTAGACCATGCTGACTTCAAATTCACAGAGGTCCTGTTTCTGCCTCCCCACTGTTGGGATTAAAGATATGCGCCACCAACCTGGCAAATCTGGAGTTTATTATTTCCTGAAGTGAAGTTTACATCTCTGTATTTCCCTGTTAATCTGGTTGTTATGGTCAAAGGTTTGTTTGTTTGTAAGAGGTCTATGTACTAAAAATGAGGTCGTTAGTACACTTCCAAATGTTTCTAGACTGTAATATGTTAATGACAATCTAAGAAAATATTTGGTCGGAATTTGTCTGCTGTACTAAAAAGTGAGTGTCAACAACTGATATAAATTGGTTATGTAATTATTCAGGCTGCAAGAGGGTTTTCCACCACAAGATTTTAAATTATTAGTAACAATACACTGTGCACTCGGAACCAATTTAAAAGGTTCATCGTGCACACTAATTTGCTTTCTTTGTATCCAGGCAATACTTAAACAAAAAATCATGACAATCAGTAAACAGTTATTTGAAAATGTGCTCTCTTTGTTGCATGGCAACTATTGATCCTATTATGTGTGTTTTTTACATACTCTAAAATAATTAAGCAAGGCACAGATTGCTATCTACTTTTTAAAATGTTAAAAGCATTTAAGTTATTAAGTTTATTTTAATTTGTGCAGTATATACTTGTAAAGAGAACATTTCATTCCTACGCAAAGGCACAGTGACCCAGGAAAGAGATGACAATGTCATATTAGTGATTCTCCTTTCTCATGAGAGGACTTTTAGGGAACTTTTTTATTCACAGTCTTAATAGCTAACACAATCAAGACATTCTTATCATTCTCCGGCTTTACTGGCCGGAGTGTGATTTACTGCTGGCTAAACAGTAACATTTATTAAGACATGCAGTCCTCTCAACAGAACGAGACAGCTGTTTTCACTACAGGAGATTATACACCCAGGGCCATCTGTGAGACAAGCATGATGTCCTGGAGACAAGGCAAGCACTTAAGAAGAACGGTTACAATATGACACAGGATTCTTTTCACCATGGGATTAACTTTGTAGAAAGCAAGAACACTGATTTTTCCTTAATGTCAGATGCTAGGCTTAGCTTAATCTCTGAGCAGAAGAACCGGAATGAGCCATAAAGATCCTTTTGCAATGGGATGTACCTAAAAACCCCAGTGGGATTGGGGGTGTGGAGAGCATCTCAGGGAAAGGCAGGAACGTTCAGCCATTTTAATGTTCTAAGATGAAGAGCTCGGGGGGGGGGTAGAGAAAATAATTGTTATATCTCTATCCAGTTAACTCTACCACAACAATCTTGGAGTTAAAACATGGGACATTTAGAGAATGTCTCATAATAAATATCCATAAACTGTTCTTCAAAGAGTTGCTTTCATCTCAAATTCTGTGGCCATAGCAGTCTACTGTTCTAGGTCTTCGCCACAGTGCCCAAACTATTTTAACATCTGGCGCTAAAGGATATTTTGGACTGTTTGTCTGATAGTTTTGGTGGTGCTGAAATGGAACCCAGGGCCTGGCACATGCTAGGAAGATCGTCTTTTTGAGTATTTAGATATTCAAATGATAAGGATTGGGGAAACAAATAAGAGTAGGCCATCCAACTAAGTACATCAAATATCATCAAAAATTAGAAGTGGGAGCTTTACACAAGCAAGACAAGGTCGGCTATATGGAGTTAGCTGGGGCATCTATAGCAACTGCAGCCCATAGGCTCAGCTTCTATTCCCGCATGTACAACAGGGACTTTCTTCTCGGCACAGCGTCTCTTCAGTCCAGGCTGGCCTCAAAGTCATACTCTTCCTGCCTCAGCCTTAGCACTGGGTTAGCAGGTGTGTAACGCCATACCCAGATGGTCATCCGGTAGCCTTAATCTAGCTAAGGACGAGGGGGAAGGCACCTGTTCACAGCGCGTTAGTGCTCGTTGAGGATGTTTGAAAACGGGGAGTGGAAGTAACAAATTTAGAATCTGGCAGAGCATTAGCAGAGCGTGAATGGTTTCGATATGCTGGGTGGCACAGTGCAGGACTGTTAGAGGAGGCAATAGCTTGAAGGGGGCTGAGGTGGCAAGTAACAGGACCCAATCCTCAACGAGAAACCGAGAGTGGTGCAACAAATTACACAGAGCACAGCCGCACCACGTGGACTTCGGCAGAAAGCTCCGGTTCTGGAGAGCTTTTAAGTCGAAGGACGACAGCGCACTGAGGGCTGGGTACAGTTCGCGGATCGGGCTTTGCCTAGCATGTGCGTGGCCTTGGATTCCAAACCTAGCGCCACCCACAGTTTGCCGCAACAAATGAGGAAGCTGAGGGAGAAGCGCTATGCTGGGTACAAGACATCATGGGTGGAGAGAAGGGCGGAGAGGCCAAGGCTCCAGCCCTGGGTGGTTCCAGGCATCAGAGGAGTACTGAAATTTGTGGCAGGGAGGGTTTCATCAGCCCTCCATTGCGATAGGGCTGTGCATGTGGAGAAAGCGGAGACTAACAGCTTAAGAAGCGTGACTTGCTCTATCTGGCTGTATTTAAGTTATTCATTGTTGAAACCCTGAAAAATACAGCAAAGTCCAAAGACCATAGTGTACATTTTTCATGCTCTGGGAGCAAATGGTTCTTAGGGGTAGACAGAGAAATGCTCATTATTTAATGCCAGAGTAAACTGGTCAAATTTCCTAACTAATAATTTTAAATCATTTCTATTCTCTTATCTTAGAAGCAAAGAAGTGAGAATTATCAGTATTTCTATTCTTTAACAAATATGATCAAATACAGATTCTGACACTAGATGGAAAAAAGTAAATATTTAAAGATTAAAATTATGGTTTTCTGCATAAGAACTGAGAAATATCCTAACATTACAAAATTTCAATTTCTATTTTTCATTTTCTCTTTTTACTTTGTATCACATTGTCTAATATTTTGGAAAATGCATATATCTTAAGTATATTTGGAATGGGAAATTCCAAATGGAACCAGAAGTATTCAGAGTAGCAATGAAATCTATCTGGACCAGCCTTCTGGCAGGACAACAGAGTGTTTCTAAAGCAGACAAGATTCACGCTGATGGGAGCCAGGGTCACCTTCTCTCTCCAGCTCTCGTCACTCAGCAGCTTCTGTCTCAGGGTTTCCTGCATCTGCTCGATGCTCTTCTGATGGGCAACCAGCATCAATTCCCTGAAAGCCACAAAACCGACAGATGAGAGAGGACTCCCGCCTTGTGATCCTCCCAAGCTGCAAGGCCTGTCTCGGAGGCTATTTTCCCACAACATAATATGCAAACACACTTTAACAAGGCAGACATTGCTTTGGATTGAAATCCCGGAGTCACCTCAGTCCTGTCACTCCCCTGAGTCATCACATCCATTCGTGAGCCGCTGGCCAGAAGAGAAGCCTGGACAATTTAAAAACTGAAGTCAAGGGCTAAGGAGGTGACCACTGGGGAAAGCGCTTGCCAGACAAGTGTGTAGACCTGAGTTCAGAGCCTCGGAGCCCACCAGAAGCTAGCCATGGCAGCATGGGTCCATAATATCAGAACTCCTACAGCAAGATGGGAAGCAGACACAGCATCCAAGAATCCCACGAGTCTGTTAGCCTGGGGTATGCAGGGTGAACAGAAGATGCAGGATCAAACATGGTGGGAGGTGAGGTCCAATACCTGAGGTTGTCCTCCATCTATGTGCAATGGCATGTGCATACATGCACGTGCACGCATGTGCACACGCACACAGACACACCCTTCACACTGTGCACACAAGATTTAAAACAATCCCTAAAGTCATATCAAGTATCCTTTCAATCACACTACAATAAAATTAGAAATCAGTAGGAAAATTTTCAATACTCTACAAACAAGAGAATGTTAAATAACTTATTCTTAAACAACAATGAATAAATGAATAAGTTGAATGTTTTCCATTTCTTGAAGCAAATGAGAATGGAGACACACATATCAAAGCTACAGGATGGGGCAAAACAGTGTCGAGAGGCAAGTTCACAGTAATCAGTGACTGTGAACAAAACAGAAGATCCACAGCCTCGGGCTGCATGTCACAGAACTGACAAACCAAACCAAAATTAGAAGGAAAGAGATAATAAATATCAGACAACGAAGTAGATAATGAAAATACAGCCATAGTTTGCTTTCAATTGCTAGGTTGACCATAAGCCAGAGTAACTTGGGGAGTACGGCATCTACTTGATTTAGACCCTAGCCACGGTCAGCACTGAGCAAAGCCAAGGCAGGAACCTGGAGAGAGGAACTGAAGCAAAGACCATAAAGAAACACTGGTTTGCTCTCCACAGTCTGCTCAGTTTACTTTCTCACACAACCAGTACCACCTGCCCAGGAATCACACTACCCACACCAGGCATTAATCAAGAAAACGCAGGGCTTGATCCAAGGTGGCGGTAGTCCCAGGGCTGCGGCCAGGTCCAAGGAGCCTGAGAAACCCACAGAGGAGCAATTAGGTGGCAGGTGATAGACCTGCAGATCTATGCAGCACTACCTCCAAAACAACGAAAAATGGCAGGTCTCAAAAGAAAAAATAAGAAAAGCAAGAAGAGAAAAAAGAAAAAGGAAAAGGAAAAAGAGAAGAGAAGGAACAGTACAGACAGGAATGTACTGAAGAGAGTCCTTAAATGTTGTGGTGCAGATGCTGAAGGGTCGCTCTCCACAGTTGATGGCTTCTGGTGGGAGTGGGGAAGACCTCAATTTTCTCTGAGGGACTGGCCACTGGGAGTTTGACCATGCTCCAATGAGTATATGGGAAATATAAATTGGATTTAATGTATTTTTCTTTTCAGTGGGGTTGAGTGGGAACGCAAAAGTGGGGGAGTGGACCTGGGAGGTATGGGAAATGAATGTGGTTGGGGGCATTGTATGAAATTCCCAAATAATTAATAAAAATACTATGTTGGAAAAAAGGAAAAAAGAAAAGAAAATGCCCCACAGACTTGACTAAAGGCCAGCGTGAGAGAGGCATTTTGTTTTTCTATTGAGGTTCCCAGTTTGTTGTGGGAGTAACTTCCGCTGCCTCAACCAATAGTCGCTGGAGCAGGAGCCGGGAGCAGGAGCCGGGAGCAGGAGCCGGGAGCAGGAGCCGGGAGCAAGCACCGGAACCAAGAGGGCCTGATCCGGATCTGCTTCTCTTTTTAAAAGAGAAATATACCATGCCCCAGTGGGCTGGTATTTTAGCAGCTATTGGTTGAGGCAGCGGAAGTTACTCCCACAACACCAGTTGGCCTGATCTTGCATCAAGTAGAGAAAAACCAAATCGACTCGAACACCAAAGATGAAAATATGAAGACCTGGGGACTGGAGATGGCTTGACAGTCAGAGCGCATACTGCTCGCAGAGGCCCGCGCTGGCTCCTAGCCCCACCTGTGGCTTGCTACCACCTGGAACTGCAGCTCCTCAGGATCCAGCATCTGCTTCTGCTCCCTGGAGTGCCCGCGACTTAAGTCACACACCTCTACCCCCTGTGCACTGAAAAAAAAGGCCTTAAAAAATCAGATATTGTCAGCAAACTATTTTAATCCCAGCATAAGCAGATAGATTTCTGTGAGGTCAAGGCCAGTCTTGTTTACTTAGCAAGTTCCAGGACAGCCAGGGATACATAGTCCCTAACTCAAATAAATAAATAAATAAATAAATAAATAAATAAATAAATAAATAAA